CTGTAGGGAGTGGGGCCTGATGGCGTAGGGGCGGGCACCGTGGCGGGGCGGGGACCGGGGCGGCTGTCCCGGCCGCGCTCTTGTCGCTGGGTGTTAGGGCCAGGTAGGACCTTGGTTTGGCCACCAGGTCACGCGCTTGCCGTCGCGCTGACTGGCCACCAAACAACCTGGCGGCCTCACTGAACGCCACCCGCGCCCCCCGCCAGGCGTGCGCTCTGACAAGGTCAAGGCGCAGCAGGCGGCGGCGGCGGCCAAGAAGAGTGAGCAGCAGCCGCAGGCCCGCCCTCCTGCTCGGCGGCGGGCAGCGCGCTGGCGGGCGGCTTCTTGCTTGCCGTCTGGAACATTGCGCGTGCGCGCTTCCTGCGGGACGACGCCTCTCTCGCCCCGCCGCCACGCATCCTGCAGCTTGCCCTACCGACTAACTGGGTGCGCCCACACACACAACTCACGCACAAACACCACACACACTCACACACACACACACACACACACACACACACACACACACACACACACACACACAAACACATACACGCACACACACGCATGCACACACACACGCCCGATGTGAACGATTCACATTGTTCTCAAATGCCGCAGACAAGAAGAGCCTCAACGTCGGCGGTGGCGGCAAGTCTGGCCTGAGCGCAGGCCTGGATGACTACGTGTACGAGGGCGCGGCCGGGCCTGACGACGACTACGATTTCATGTGAAGCTGGCGTGGCACACTGACAACACTACGCGCGTCGGGCCGCCGTGCTTGTGGCTGGCCCCGACGTACGCCGGGGCGCCGCCCGCCCGCACGGGCGCCCGCGCGCGGGGCGGTGGTCGCGCGCGCGGGCGCGGCGGGGGATGCTCCCATTCGCACTCGCTTTTGCTGAGGGCGAGCGCCATCCGCCGCGCAGCCACGAGGATCGAAATCAGCTGATGCCGTCGGGGCGAGCCGGTGGCTGGGCTGTTGTAAACCGCTCGTACACAGACATTTCCGGGGGGGGGGCCAGGGGGGGGGGCCTGGATACGCAGCAGCCTGCGAAATCCGAAGCAGCGCCGCCGCGCTGGTCAAGATCTTTGTTTGCAGCGGCGGCAGGCCGTTGGGGCGCCACACGGCGGGTTGGCAGTCAACGAGCCCGATTAGAGCAAGTCTGGAAGCTGGCTTGACAGTTGGGTGAAACCCTGTGCTATGAGCCCTGTCCAGGCACCCATTCCTGTCACACGTCCCGAGCCCGACACCCCAGCGCTCTGCGCGCTGCCAGGGGTTGCGTGCCAGTTGCTGCCGCCACGGGGCTGCATGCGCACTCCGACGCTTGGGAACACGACATAGTGTTGTGGGGTTCAAGGGTGGTTACAATGTGTGGGGGTGGCTTGGCATGCATGGGGCGCACATTAGCCCACGACAGAGGGTGTGGGGTCTGACATTTCAAAGACCAGCGCTGCCATGGTTGGCTAGGCAACCGAGGGTGGTAAAAGGAAGCAGGCGCCGCTGGTCACGGCGGCAAGGAATGTGCCATTCATGTGCAAGGGTTTGGAGGAAGATCAACGCTCATATTGTCAAAGGTGTGCCTGATCTTGCCTGCCAACATGACAATGCTGTCCTGCGCCAATCCCTCCTGAGCTGTGCGTGTGGTTTCAACAAGTGCTGAGGCAATCCCTACTTGAGGCTGCGTTGCCGCAGCTCCCGACAACAGAACGCTCGCTGCATAAACTTGCTGCAAAAAACCCCAAGTGTCTTGACGCCGCGACCGCCGGCCCGAACCGCCACTGAACAGGCGCACCGCCTCCAACAGGCTGCGTCTACAACAGCAGGCGGCGGCTGCCGCCGGGGTTGGCCGCGGCCCACTTGCCGCTGGCGGGGTCGACGTCCGTCACTGTGCGCGCCCAGCCCTGGCACAGGTCCGTCGCCTTGCCGTGGAAGAGCGCGCGGAACCTCTCGGCGCCGCAGTCGCCGAAGCCGTTGGCGCCGGCGTCCTGGCAGGGGGCGGCGTCGCCGGCGGCCTGCTGGCAGCTGCCCATGGCAACCTTGGAGCACTGGGTCAGGGAGATGCTGCCGAGGGCGTCGGCGCCCACGGCGGCGCCCAGGAGGGCGTCCTGCTTGGGGCGGCACTGCGCCATGGCGAAGTTGCAGGCCGACTGCGGGCGGGCGGGGGGGCGGAGTGGGGGCATGCGGTGAGTACATGGCGTGCGGGAAATGGCCCGCGCGACGACAACAGAAGCGGGACAGGGCAGGTGCTTGCGGTTGCAGCTGCTGGATGCAACTGCCGCGGACGGGTGGAGGCCTTGCGCACCTTGCCGACTGCGGGGCCCTGCGACGCGCCGACATCCATGCACGTGCTGCCCCTGTTGACGGCTATCTTGTCGGGGCTCGGCGGGCAGTAGACGTTGCAGGTGCGCCAGCAATCGGGGTCGCGGCACTGGGAGCACGGCGTGCAGTCAGCCGCGGCGACAGCGGCGAGAGCGAGGAAGAGCAGGGCACGCGCCGGCTGCATGATGGTGGTTTGTGCACTCGGATGAGCAGGCTAGTAGGTGGGAGTTGTTTGGATCACGGTGTGCTAAGACTGTGCTTTGTTCCTTAGAAGACTTGGATACAGGTACGGGTTTTTGTAACTCAAAGATGGTTATAAGTCTTAATGTCTGCGTGTTGGTTGTTTGCTTGCAGGGAACAATGCCTTGATAAAGCTCCGCACAAGCTACTAGTGACACGAGCTGCCATGGCGCGGTAGCGAAGGGTGCCAGGAAGGTTGGGCACCCGAGTCCGTTTGTGATGGACTGGGTAACGCCTCCAGACTTTATTTTGGGCGGCAAACGAGCCCACCGTGGGTGGCACGGAGCGGTGCTGGTCTTGCGCTCTCCGCTCGCGCTCAACTGCTCCTTGTCGCCAATGAGGGGGCTTGCCGCTCATCCTAGCACAAGATTACAGTAGTAACCTCTATAGCAAAGGATCACATCTCAGATGTACGCGACACAGCCATTACCACAGCACTACAGTACATCGGCCTCAGATATCTATGGTGTGGCTGCTGAGTGGTGTGGTTGGACACTGAACTGTGGGTAACTATAGCTTCCGACCATCAACACCAACAGCAACATCACCAACCAACAGAGCGCCTTGTAATTGCTCCTTTACAAGACCAACAATTCTTTGAACCCATTTTGAAGTGGACGCTATGCTTTGGAGGCCCCACCGGGGCGCAGGGAAACGGAAATGAGGTGGCCACCGACGCCGTCCACAACGAGAAATCTCCATTGGGCGCAATCAAGTAAGCGCGTTGCCGCTGCTTCTGATATGTATGTTGAGCAATCACAATTCTTACAGGACCGACGGACGCGGCAGCACGCCTGGGCAGGAGGCCCTACGGTGTGCGATGAGGTGGCTGATCACCTGTCGGCATGGTAGGTGCTTCACAGCAACACACCACCATGACAACATACTAGTGTACATCAGCTTCAAGCATGTTGGTGTAACGGGTACAGCGCGGGTAGGCCACCCTAATTCCCCCCCCCCTCCCGCGCCAACTGCTGGATGCCCTGGCACTGCACCTCCCTGTGTTCAGAGTCTGCGATGATGCCCAGAACTCCCAAAAAAAGAGTGCGCAAAACGTTTATCACCTCTGCTTGCATATTCAGAGGTGGTTCGTATACAACATGTTGCGTTGGAGAAGACACCGGGTGGGACGAGGTGGGGGCAAATGTGTTGTAGGCGGTGCTCGTCTCCTGGTGGGTGACAGCCAGACACAAGTACATACACATGTATAGATACGTATGTATGTAAATAACTATACATGTATGTGTGATATGCTAATGGATATATACATATATATATAAAAAATAGATCATTTTGTATGGTATGCCAAGGAATTGTCCCGGGGAGATGCATAAACGGCACTTTCGTTCTGAGATTGCCATGACATCAACACTGGCGACAGCTGTCGCTGTGCACAGCTGTTTTATATTGACTGCTCGCATGCCCACACCCACGTCTCTTGTTCAAACCTGGAGCTTGCGGCATGAAGCAAACGAAAGCTTCAAAAGTTGTGCGCTGTTTGTTATCACGTAAGCTGCTCACGAGTGTCTAGTCAACGCCCAACCCGCAGCTTGATGATGCTTGTGCCGTCCTTGTCCTTGCCCAGGTGTGCAGCTCGGGTATGAAGCGCTTTGCGCCATCAGCGCACACCACACGCAAGGTGACATGTGTTGCCAACAAACGCAGCGGCCTGCACATCCATGCACACACCTGTGGCGTTTTGCCAGGTGTAGCTGTAAAAGCTTGATTGGAAGTTCACAGGAATGCAGCTGGGCCAGCAGAACGATTGAAAAGAGACAGCTACATATGAAATGTTGTGGCAGTCTCAAGGTCCCGATGTGGATGGCGATGATGAGCGATGTGACAGCAGCCCACCGCGGCACTCTTCAGCGCAAGAGCGCGCACGTTAGCTGCCATTCATGGGAGCCGGCGACATGCACAAAGCTGAAATGGGGCACACGCAGCGGTGTGTGGGCTGGGCGGACCAGAATGTATTGACAAAGGTGTGACAAATCAGGCAAGGGTCATCGGTCAGGCGGCGTGCAGCGAGCTTGACATATGCATGGGCAAAGCTGGTGGCCAAAGCGGTCCACATGCATGCGAGGCTTGCGCCATCCAGGCGAATATCAAGGTCAGGCTGTGCTCTGCAACCAAGCAGTCGGGGCTGGGGCCGCACGGTTGGCGTGCGGCCGCCGATGCGAAACGAAGACTGTTCGCTCAGAAGATGCGGGCAGAGGTCAGGGCGCCGGTGGCCTGGATGGAGACAGCACCCTTGCCGGTAGCCTGCTTGAAGGCGATCGTGGAAACGAGGTCCGGCTGGCCCCCCACCGCAGGCGGCAACTGAAGGGGGGGGGGGGGCGGGGCGTGGGGACCAGCAATGTCACCCTGCGCGAGAGCTTGCAAATCGCGATTTCTGATCGGCATGCAAGCATTCCAGGCGTGTGCCCGTACCACAAAACTTGAGAGCAGCGCTTGCTCCGCAGTCAGGCGGTCTGGCATGCTTGCCTGCACGCGCCAGTTTCTGCACAGCAGGTTGAAGTTGGCGACGCCAGATGCCTTGTCTTTCTTGAGGTTGAGGTTGCACGAGGTGGCGCTCTTGACTGAAAAAAGGGAGAGGTCAGTGCCGTTGATGCCGAAGCTGCCAGACACGGGTGACTTGGCCACAGTTTTTGAAAAGGTGGTGGTGAACTGCACCTTGCCCTGAAGGAAGGTGTAGGCGGGCTTGAAGCCCCTGCTGCCACCGGGGCTGAGGGGAAGGACTTTGGAGGTCGCCAGCTGCATACACAGGGACATTGTTTGGGGACGGGGGGGGGGGCTCATGTTTAAGTGGGGGAACCGTGTGCGCGGCCCTTCTCGGAGCTGGTGAGATGCTGCAGTACGTAGCTTTGCACCCCAACGCAGGGCCAGTGGCAAACCGATGGGGCTTACGCTTGGGCAACGAAACCCAAGGCGAACACGCAGCCACCACGCACGGGCGAGCGCTCACATCAATGAGGGTTCCATTGACACTGAAAGACGAGGAGGTGGTGGTGCCCTTTGTGGTGGAGCTGCTGCCGGCAAAGCTGGCCACAGCAACTGGGAGGGTGCGGTAGGT